TCAAATGAAGATCTCTTCATTAAGTGGCTTACACATTTCAAAGACAACGTAACACCAACAGATGAAGATCGCGTCTTATTGATCATGGACAATCACGGGAGTCACATCTCTCTTGATAGTTATGATTATTGTAGATTTACTCATATAACATTTTGTCTCAATACCACCTCACACAACACATAAACTACAGCCTTTGGTTTTATGGCTCCCTGAAGAAAGCATTCAACATACAGTGTGACAGGTTTTTGAGGGAAAGCCAATTTCAGAAGATTTCTATGTATGACATAGCATATATATTTAATGAAGCTTACTTGAAAGTCGCAACGATGGTTTAGTGCTTCAGAGATCTTACCGTACAGCCTTAAAAAATTTATTGATAGACTTTGTCACTGAACAAGACACTCAAACTCCAGTCATCGTTGACTCTGAAAATATGCTTATGAACCAGCATTTGGTGCAACTCTTCTTAAAGACAATCATAATGTCACTGGGGAGCTTGCAAGCGCTAGCGAGACTTGTGACAAAACTTGTCAGATTTTAATACTTAATCCAAAATATACGGTACAGAAATTTGGAACCAAGACAACAACCAGCTTAGAATTGAGTGGGATTTATAAAGATCCACTACCTGGGAGTTCGAAAACGAATGTTGTACCAAATTCTTGTCCATAATCTACTGAGAATCTGTCCCATTTCAAAGACATTTTGCAATCAGTATCACCTCTTCCAAAAGCATTTAATGATGATAATTTCAATTTCAAAAAATTCCAGAAAATTACACTCAGTAATTAAGACTGGCACCCCTATGAACACGGTTTTGGAAGACACAAAGAAGAAAAAAGAAATTAGAGACTTAAAAGCCAAGCGTGGACTAGAAAAGTTATACAGGATCCAAAGGCCAACCCGAATCTGACGCTAAAATTGTTGAAGAGTGAAAAAAGCAGACAAGAGTTGAAAATAAATCACAAACAAAATTGGGCGCATTAAAACGCAATATTACAAATAAACTAATTTAAAGAATCGTCTTCCGAAGAAGATATAGAAGAATGAAAAATATGTGATGACAACGAATGTGATGACAGTTTTGAATTATTTCCGAAAACTTTTGATTTTAAATATATCTACTTATGTATCTGCATACCTTGTTTTCGTTCAAGTATGCAATGTTTTCGTATTTAGCGATACCATTAGTTGTCTCATTATTTTCTTATTATTACTACTGTCGGCATTACCCCAAACCACTGTCGGAATTACCCCGGTGATCGTGGAAATACCGACACTTGCTAAAGTTAGGAAAAAATATTGTTTTTAAATACGTAAATGACATTGTTTTACCAATATTACATACCCAAAGGATGTGGAAAATTTCAATTATAGTATAAGTATTTTCATAAAAAATCTAACTAATAAAGAATAAATCTGAAAATTCAAATTGTCTTGAGGTGTCGGGATTCCTCCGGTCTACCCTACGATTTGCCCAGCGTATGGCATCAAAAGAAGAACAATGATTAGATTTATAGTTCTTGTTAGTTACCATCCATTTTGTGTTTTTAATATTAAATTTCCGTTTTCACGAAAAATTTTTCCGAAAATAAAGCGGTACCAATATTTCCGGCATTTGATCGCAAGTCATTATTTTGGTATTGGCGATGTCAAACGAAAGAGGCGACACGGTGCCGTAAAATTTTGAACTAGTGCACGTAGGATAACAAAAGATTTTGTTTTTAGTTATACACACATAACATAGTTATAAACATTTTAAATATTATTAAATAAAGCACAATAAGGTAACACCACAATGCAGTAATTATCTATCGGAAGGAGTAAGTATGCACTTTTATCCTCGTGACAAAAATCTATAAGATCGTTGGGCACAGGAATTAAAATTTGGGAAATCGATATCAAGTGATATGATGGTGTGTTCACAACATTTTTTATCAACAGATTTTTTTTCAAGTAAATTTGCTGAACAGAATTGCAACATTTATTATATATAATGTGCCTACCTAACCTAACCAAATATATACACTAACATAGTTCTTAATTAAAATTTCTATTACAGCTGAGCAGGGAAAAAAGCTTTCAAAGAAAGGTGTTGTCCCTCTCAATTCCTACTTAAAGGAAAATACGAAAGAAAAATCAATGAGAAACTGCTGAATGCTAGACTAATGCGTAATAAAATACATGTACATTTCTCCCTGGTGGGCTTTACAAGTGCATTTTGCCACCCAGTCGTCTCTTAACACATCTACAAGTGACTTTATGTGGGGCACCATTTAAATAGAGATAAACCGAAGAATTTGCACGGCTAATAGATGCTATTTTGGGCTTAATCTCCTTTTTTAAATCTACAGTTATATCAAGAAATACAAAAGTAAAATAGGTAAAGAAATAATAATAAGACTTACTCACAATCAATTTAATTTAACAATCAGACGACCGGTTTCGCTTTCTACAATTTGCAAAGCATCTTCAGGTCTAGATACAAAGTTAAACTAATGATGCCGGTACTCTATTAATTGATGGATGGTAGGTCATGGTTGCAAAAATCATGTATTGTTGATTGGAGAACTTTAATGTGCTATTGCAGTTGTTTTGACAATAAACGGGAAGTTTTTGAGGAGAACAGATTTGATCCAATAAATTAGAGATAGGTATATTGTGGTTGTTTGTCAGATGAAAGTGATCTTCTTTACTATTGTATTATTTAAATTATTTACATTTATATCAGAGATATATTTTTGGAATGTGTGTTATTTATTGAGTATTTATGTTATGAAGGAGACAGTTTTATGACAATGAATAAGAGTAGCTGTACCGATTGTGTGGTTGTACAATTATTTTGACTTGTAATTATCAAGTCTATTGGCAAAATTAATCAATTATTGTAAAGTCAAGTATATAAAAAGTATATAAAAAGTATATAAAATTATTACAAATTAAGACAATCAGGGACAAATTAAACACACATTAACAGGAAATTAATTTGTCCCTGATTGTCTTAATTTGTAATAATTTTATATACTTTTTATATACTTTTTATATACTTGACTTTACAATAATTGATTAATTTTGCCAATAGACTTGATAATTACAAGTCAAAATAATTGCATAACCACACAATCGGTACAGCTACTCTTATTCATTGTCATAAAACTGTCTCCTTCATAACATAAATACTCAATAAATAACACACATTCCAAAAATATATCTCTGATATAAGTGTAAATAATTTAAATAATACAATAGTAAAGAACATCACTTTCATCTGACAAACAACCACAATATACCTATCTCTAATTCATTGGATCAAATCTGTTCTCCTCAAGAACTTTCCGTTTATTGTCAAAACAACTGCAATAGCACATTAAAGTTCTCCAATCAACAATACATGATTTTTGCAACCATGACCTACCATCCATCAATTAATAGAGTACCGGCATCATTAGTTTAACTTTGTATCTAGACCTGAAGATGCTTTGCAAATTGTAGAAAGCGAAACCGGTCGTCTGATTGTTAAATTAAATTGATTGTGAGTAAGTCTTATTATTATTTCTTTACCTATTTGATATGGACTCACACAAGCAACACATTCATGATTTTACAAAAGTAAAACTCTACAAAACAATAATACGCCCAGTCCTAACATATGGTTCAGAAACCTGGACTTTAACAAAAAGCAATGAAAACATGTTAGGATGTTTCGAAAGAAAAATACTGAGGCGAATCTATGGAGCGGTAAATGAAAATGGTGTCTGGAGAAGACGATACAACTTCGAACTCTATAGAATATACCAGGAACCAGATATCGTAAACCACATTAAGATAGGACGTCTGAGGTGGGTAGGCCATGTAATGCAGATGGAGCAAACCGACCCAGCTAGAAAAACGCTCCTTGATAGACCTATTGGTCAAAGAAGAAGAGGAAGACCCAGAACAAGATTCCTAGATAACATAGACCAAGATATGAGAAATATGGAAATACGTGCTTGGCCGAGGAAGGCGATGGATGGGGACGACTGGAAGAGAATTCTTGGGGAGGCTAGGACCCACACAGGGTTGTAAAGCCAAAATGATGATGACCCTTTAAATTAGTCGTTTGCAGACACAAATCGACTAATTTGTTATTATGTTTGCCACACAACACAACGTGGCCATCCTTTAACAAGGCATCGCCTTCTTTTAAAGGTCTTTTTGTGTCTCCTATATATTTCAAAATATGGGGCAGACTAAGTTTAATTTCTTTATTTGCCATTGCAAGAATATGGTAGCTCTGTTTTGTTTTCTTACGTCTACGTGCGTGATCAGCTGATCATCTGTCAAAGCGCCCCTATAGTTCGTTGACATCGCCAATTACCTACCTAAGTTTCTTAATGCCGTATAAGAATGTTTGGTCAAAAAAAAACTTACCCCATTGAGTGGTAAATTTTTCTTACCTGTGACATGTACCGATAAGAATAGACGGCTTAGTTTCTAGAGTTTTTTAGATTACATATTCTAGTACTGTTTTATACGTGATTCATTCTGGGTCAAATTACCCATTAAAAACTATATATATAGGCTCATGGACCATAAAGTCTTGTTGAGAAACAGCTGAAAAATGTGACTAATCAATATTATCAATATACCAATAAATTTTCGCCAGTTATAGTCTATAACTATTGACTGATAGATCAAAATTGTTGGATTCTTTTGGTTTTAAAATAAAAAATAGATCTTTTAGTTTCTAAATTATCTATATATCTAAAAAGCATAAATTGCCCACTGCTGAACGTAGGCCTTCCTAAGTTTTTGCCACTACTCTCTACGTTGTATCCTTTTTATTCAATTTCTAGTAATTCTCTTATGTCATCGATCCAATTTTCTATGGGGGGTGCCACCCCTTGGTCAAACAATTTTGATTATTGATGTTTATCATTTACGCTAGCTACGTACAAATCAAATGGAGCAGAAACTTTTTATGTTAATTAAATTTGTATAAATCCGTTTGTTTTTTTTAGAGTGGTCCAGGGCCTAATTGTTTAGAATATAAAAAAGTATCCTTATCAAGTGAAGAAAAACAGTATATTGTAGAGATACATAATGATATTCGAAATTTCGTAGCGTCAGGCTTTGAAAAACAAGGAAAACTTGGAGGTCTACCACCTGCTGCTAATATGATGCCATTGGTAAATAGATATTTTGAAAATTTGAAGTAGTTTAATATAGATTTTTAAAGAAGTGTTATATTTGTTAATCTGTTTAAGTAGGTATTCTACGACAGATAAAATGGGAAAAATAAATAACATAAGTATAATGAAATAATTTTATCGTTATCATCAGTTGCACAACAATCCTTTGTGGGTCTTGGCCTGTTTTAAGATATTCCGTCATTTTGATCTATTATGGGTTTTACTTTCCCAGTTATTCCGGTGATTTTTAGGGTTTTTAAGTCTTGTTCTACCTGCTATATATATCTAAGTCTGGATCTTTCTTTTGATCTTCTTCCCGTTGGTGCCTGCCTTATGTTTTTCTTGATGACTAAATCTTCTCTACATGACCCATCCGGCCCAGTCTTCCAATTTTTGTAAACCTGGCGATGTCTAGTTCGTTATATGCATTGTACAATAATTATTCAAAGATGTATTGTCTTCACCACTGATTTCTTCGTTAATAAACTCATGGACAAAAATATCGAATATTTTGGAATTTTTTAATTCTTTTTGTGTAGTCACTATTATTTCAAAATAATTTTAGATTACTGATTTTACTCATATAGTAGGCTGATATACTCAATTAGTTTAAAATAAATTTTGACGTTTATTTTGACGTTTGTTCAGCGTTTAGTGTCATTCGTGCATTTTATCATAAAAAACCTTCTTCACGTAAAGGAAAAAAAGGTAAAAAATCATAGTAATTCGGTTATTTTTAGTTTAATTTATTAAGTTTGATTAAATATTGTTTTTATTCAAGATTCAAGTAAATTTAATACAAATATGCCACCAATTCGACACTGCGATGAAGCCCAAGCAGCACAGATTGTAATTTTGTACGAGGAAGGATATACACAAAAAAATATCGCATGGCGTCTCAGGAGAAGTCAATCTACAGTTTCGAATATTTTAAAAAGGTACCATGAGACAGGCAAATTTGTACGAAATTTGCCTATCAAGGACATCCAAAGTGCACAACCGCAATTGATAACCATTTTTTGCTTCTTAATTCTACAAGAAATGGCTCATTAACATCGATGAACCTCAGAAATGTGCTACTAAATGTCAGACAAGTTAATGTGAGCTCAAAAACAGTTAACGAATATTAAAAGAAGCAGCCTTAAAGCCTAGACGTCCTGCAAAAGTTCCACGTCTTTTCCAAAATCATAAAGCTCGTCGTTTAGAATTTGCAAGAAGACATGTTCATTGGAATATCGACGACTGGAAAAATGTTCTTTTTACTGATGAGACCAGAAGCCTATTATATAAGCCGGATGGTCGACATCACGTCTACAGAAGAGTTGGAGAACGATTCGCCACCTGAAATCTTGCGCAGACCGTTAGATTTGAAGATAGTGGCATAATGCTTTGGGGAGGTATTAGTTGGGAGGGACGTACCGCACTTGTGGAAGTGATTGGACGAATGACTGGTGACACTTAGGTTCAAAATATTCTGCAAGATCATGTTTTGCCATATCTTGGTTACATTGGATATGACAGATTTATATTAATGTACGATAATTCTCGACCACACAAATTCAAAGATTGGATTAGCCACCATTTAGTTCGGATTTAAATCCAATAGAGCACATGTGAAATCAGAAATCCCGTTTCAAATACGATAGAGTAGCTTCGGCTTGCTGCACAGGATGAATGGAATTCTATTTCCCAAGGGTATGTCCAAAATTTACTTGCGAGCATGCCAAAAAGGATACAAGCAGTAATAAAAGCTAGAGGGGGGAATACTTGTTACTGAACATACACTTGTTTCAATGAAAAAGACTTATTTACCCAATTTAAGTTAGCATTTCAGTTTAGAGTTAAAAAATCTTATTTACCTAGTATTAAGCAATATTGTTTTTTCGCAATTTTCTCCGCATAAAACTTTAAAATTGTTCATTAAACATTGTTAAAATAAAACTCCTGTCGACGACAACCCATTTTGTATTTGAACGGTCCGCCACTGCAGCCCAGCCAGCCAGCTAGTCGGTACAGACGACAGACGACAGAATGAAATTCCATCACCAGCCGTTGAGAAGCATAGAACTATTTGTTATTGTTTTCATATTTTTGTGCAAATTCATAAATAAATGCAGTATTTTAGACTATTAACTAATTTCAATAAATACAGTCCACTACAACAATAAACATTGGTCATTCGACCCGATATTTGTGATAAAATCAGTGCTAAAAGTGATTCACAGTTAACGGTCAAGTGAAAGAACACGTGGGATTGCCGAACAATATACAGCCAAAAATACCGGTGAGTTCCCATCTGATTCCTATACCTATTTATACTGTTTTTGTTTGTGTAAGTTGCATAAAACTATTTACAATCTATATATCTATTTAAATTCAATTCGAATCTATTTGATTAATAAACAATGTCGGACGAACACTTAAAAAGATTAATTAGAAAACGTGCTGGTCATAAAGCTTCATTTACAATTTTCTCCAAATTTCTAGAGTCTATTAAATGCAAATTAGAATTACATGATGTTGAAAAAATCGAACTAAGCGACAGAATAAATAAACTAGAAAATACATTTTTAGAAATTAAAATTATCCAATCAGAAATAGAAGAATTGGCAGACGATCCCGAACCACACTTTGTGATAAGGGAAGAACTTGAAAACAATTTTTATTCACTATCGGCTAATGCCAAAGCATTGTTAAATAAATTCATTTCAGATATTGATGATAAACAGTCGGTGACAAACGAGCATACAGACAATAACACTTCTATTTCTGACGGGGCTTATCGTTTACAAGGTGTAAAACTGCCAACAATACAAATTCCAAAGTTCGACGGCACATACGAATTTTGGCTAGAATTTCGAGACACTTTTGAGTCACTCATTCATACAAATGATAGTATTACAAATATTCAGAAGTATCATTATCTTCGGGCATCATTACAAGGAAATGCCGCCGCAGTCATAAAACCTATCGAATTTTCCGCAAACGGGTACAATTTGGCATGGGACTCTGTATGTGATCGATACAATAATAAAAAACTCTTAATACACAATCATATTAAAGCTTTATTTTCATTGGAATCTATTCACAAAGAATCTTTTGTAAAATTTCGTAAATTAGTAGATGATTTTTCAAAACATTTAAAGTCACTTCAACAATTAAATCAGCCGTGTGAACAATGGGATGCCTTACTTATATTCATTATAACATCAAAACTAGACGAAACTACTATTAGGGAATGGGAAAAGCATATTGCTACTCAAACGGAACTACCAACTTTATCCGATCTAAAAGGATTTTTAAAATCAAGAGCAGATTTTCTGGAGGCAATTGAAATGAACATTGAAACAAAAAATAAAAGTAAGGAGAACAGGACGACTAGGGGATTCTTAGCAACAAAAACAAACTATACATGCGTCTCTTGTCAAGGCGACCATAGCATTTACACTTGCGAAACATTTTTAAATTATCCAATAAACGAAAGGTGGAATTTTATTAGATCAAAATCATTGTGTACAAACTGCTTGCGATCGGGTCACTCCAATAAACAGTGCAAACTCGGGCCATGTCGCAAGTGCAAAGCACGTCACAATTCACTTTTACACAATAATACAAATGATAGGAGCATCATTATAAGCCAAAATAATTCGGGCACGTTCAATAGAAATTCGAATATATCCAATAGCAGTATTAATACAAATCCATCACAAAGTACAAGTGAGCCAATAAATCCAGGAACAAGTAACAATACATTTTGTGGTAACAGCATGCTTTCTTGTTCTGATACAGGCTATGTTTTTCTCTCAACAGCAATCTTAAGTGTTAAAGATATGAATGGTAAAATGCAAAGGGCTCGTGCACTATTGGATTGCGGGTCTCAATCTTCATTTATCACAACAAACATGTGTAACAAACTAGGAATCAAACCACAAGATGTCAGCTTAAATCTTTTGGGCATAGGCAACAAACTATCAACTATTACAGGTCAATGTCAGTTAGAGATTTCCACATCTAATAATAAATTTGTAAAAATAATCAACTGTTTTGTATTGCCAAAAATAACAAATATTCTTCCTCATACAAACATTGATGTAAGCGCTATAAACATTCCTAATACAATTCGGTTAGCAGATCCTAATTTTGGCAATGCTGGATCTATTGACATTCTTATCGGCGCAGATATTTTTTGGCATTTGATTTGTAAAGGTCGCATATCTTTAGATCAAGGTCCTATTTTAACAGAAACAATATTTGGGTGGATAATTTCTGGCCCGCTGGGATCGGTTCCCCACAATACAATATCTTGCAATCTTAGCACAAATCTGGAACTAACTAAACTTCTTCAGCAATTTTGGGAAGTAGAGGAATTGCCAAATATTCCTCATTTATCTGAAGAAGAGCAATTGTGCGAGGACAATTTTCAAAAAACTACTACACGTGATCCAAATGGTAGATTCATAGTTATGATGCCATTAAAACAATATCCGCATGTGTTGGGTGATTCAAGGATACAAGCTGAAAGAAGATTTCATCATCTAGAAAAAAGATTAGCACAAAACAATCCTCTTCGCGAACAATATATACAATTCATGCGCGAATATCAGGAGCTAAACCACATGTCGTTAGCAGATATCTCTGAAAACTCTACTGTCGACTACTACATGCCACATCATGGTGTCCTAAAGGAGGACAGTCTTACAACAAAACTTCGTGTCGTGTTTGACGCATCTTCACCAACAAGCAACGGGTTATCATTAAACAATATTCAATGCGTCGGACCCAGTATACAACAAGATCTATTCTCAATTCTCATCCGATTCAGAAAACACAAATTCATCATAAGCTCAGACGTAACCAAAATGTACAGGCAGGTGTTAATTCATCCCAGCCAACGCAGTCTTCAAAAAATAGTCTGGAGGGAAAGTCCTTCAGATCCATTACAACATTTTGCTTTAAATACGGTTACTTATGGCCAAGCATCAGCCAGTTTTCTTGCT